AAAAAAGAGTGCTCCCCAGAGCAGTTCTATGGAGTACACAGGTTATCACATTTTACCAAATGACACTAGAGGCTTCAAATTTCACAAATACTTCCCTAGCTATCTTTTCACTGGGGCCCTACTTTTGTAACACTGCCCAAGGCTTCTTGTCATTTCCACAAACACCCGCTCCTTCCATCTAGTTGAAAACAGGCTGTAATGACTAGAGTGTCTCTGCAATGGCACACTAACGTGTGGCCTCAATTTCTGACATGGGCTTCCTGTGTCTCACCTGAGCCTCCTGCACCTACCCTGGACTGGACACACACAGAAAAGTTCAAGTACCCTTGAATTTTACTCTTATCCTTCAACAAGAGACAGACTACCCCAAGCAGTTTTGATATCCCAACATCTTACCATCTGCAACACACAGCTGAATAAAGGATGAGTGACAGCAGAGCTTAGAGAAGCCCAGACCATTTCAAAACCATTATTTGTGCCAAGTGAAAATCCTTGACTCAACTAGCCAAACGAACAAAACAAAACAAAATGGTCATGTAGCCACATGATGAAGGCGAGTAACCATCTCAAACAGTAAATTAACAGCTGAGGGTGTAGATGACAGTAGACTGTGTGAAAAAAGGAGAAAGTCAAATAGCCGAGGCTCAGTGCAGCAGAGATGGCTGAGACAGTCACAAGACCTTGGTCAAATAATCTCACCCATGTCTCCAAAAATGACATTGTTCTCTAAAACTATGAGGCAGGCCATAAAAGTGTCAGAAGGACCACTTGTTAGCATTTGAATTTTTAGTGTAATTAGTGCAAGTTTCCATCAAATACATGCACACCAATAAAAAAAAACAAAACAAAACCAAAAAAACAACAAATGAATAAATAACTGGCAAATAATTTTGGGTCCTTTTTGAAAATGTTTTCAAACTGCTGATATTTCCCTGCCCCCTTCCATCTCCCAAGTTCCACCACCAAAATAAATGCATTAATAATTTTTTGTTTGTTTTTTGAGACAGGGTTTCTCTGTGGTGTTGTGGATATGAACAAGTTTTTGTTTTAATCCCAGGTGTGGGCTGTGGTACTGAATCAGATTGTCCACAGCAGCAAACTATTTGTCTCAATTGGGCTCTGAGAGGGGCTCTTTGCCAGCTGCAGATAGTTTAAATCTGAGGACTCTGGAGAGAGAATAAATGCCAGAGCCCAGAGAGTGTGGAGGAGCTCTGAGAAAGAATAAGGTTGTTGCTGCTTCCTCCCTGCAGCTCCCGGCTGCTGTTGATGCAGTGAGTTGATGTTGTGAGACAATTCCAGCTACTTGTCTCACAACGTCCCTGACCAGCAGGAAGCAGCTAAGGGAACTGCACCCCCTCTTACACTAACCCTTTCTCTCTCCTACCAGGTATTAGGATGTTGGAAGGGATTGGGGTGGAGTAGAGAGAAAGAGATATATCTAAGAAATGCAAATAAGAGTTTTTAAAAACTACAACAACAGTGTGTAGCATTGGCTATCCTGGACTGGCTTGTAGGTGTGTGCCACCATGCCCGGCTCCTTTTTTTTTTTTTTTTTTAAATTTTGTGTGCCTTGGTGTTTGGCCTGCAAGTATGTCTGTTATGTATGTATGTATGTATGTATGTATGTATGTATGTATGTATGTATGTATGTATGTGAGAGTGTCAGATCTTGGAGTTGCAGACAATTGTGAGCTGCCATGGGGGTACTGGGAACTGAACTTGGGTCCTCTGGAAGAGCATTCAGTGCTCATAACCACTGAGCCATCTCTTTAGCCACAGTAAATAAAAATTTTAAATCCCCTTAAAGAAAGAGAAACTATACCTGGTACTAGAAACCAAGCCAACTATCTAGGGCTAGGGATGCCATGGATTTTGGAAAAGAACCTACAACTAATTTACTAAATCAGCATAATCCATAACTAGATTCTAAATATTTATCTTTATATCAACAGATAAGTGTAATCCTCACCCCTCATTAAGGAAACTTTGCAGTAGGAGACCATTCCAGAAAACCACAATAGATCAAAACGCAGAGCTGTGGACCCCAGTCCCAACTGAGACATCTACAGCACAACTCTTGCACCTGTGGCTCAGGGATCATTGTAGAAGGGTTAAAAGAATTGTAAGAGGAAATTTGCTGTGAGATAGTCTTCATGAGCTGAGCAAGGGTGACAATAGGCATGCTATTGTGGAAGGCAGAAAGCTCACCAGGCCTCAACCCTAAATCTACTGGCAACTACGTATGGAATGCTGAGAGGGAGGAGCATACCAACTGATTATCCAACACCAAAGGGTAAGCCCTGAAAACATATATCCACAGGCCTATATATATATACACACACACTCACGATGTGATTTTATTATAGTCTCAAAAAATTGTATTGAAAAATCTCAATGGAAAAAAGTTAAAAATGGCTAAGAAAAAAACCCTCTTGAAGAAACCTCCATACCCTGTAGGCATGCTTTACCCATAGCACCTCTGTTTTGCCTGCACTAGTGAAGGCAGATGATGTCTCTGCCATGGCCACTCCCTGCTGCACTGCGTAGCAAGACCACAGTAATCCTAAAGGAGCCTCATCTACTGCTGTGAAACGTTCTCCTACCGATGCACAAGTTTTAAATCATAGCCTGTGCAAGATTTGCCATGAAAAACCCACTGCTGTGTAAGACCAAATTCACGAGAGCCAATCGAGACTTTCCAATCAAGAGATTCTCAACAGGCTCTGTGAAGAGACAGGAGGAACTATGAAGCTCTTTACTGCACACAGGTCCGCTAATAACCTGTTCACTACTAGATAAAACACTAACTCTGTCAAACAGCTTAACACTTGAATGTAAAAACTAAAATGGACCATAATCTTTTCCTGCCACACAGCTTGAAGGCAAAGAATCTAATACATGAATTTATCTAGTCTTGGAGATTTTAATCTGACACAGCCTACTTTAATTGGTAAAAAAAAAAAAAAAAAGTGTATGTTCCTTATTTCTTTCATGAGTGAGATAAGAAGAGTTTTCATAATTTATTTTCACCAAAACTAGAGTAAGAATAACACTGGATAACAAGAATATATAATATAGACATATAATATAGAGTCAAACGACGCAAAATTTCGACTTTTTAAAGTTGTATAACAGCAGCCCTCTCATAAATTTCACTACTGAGCAGAAGACACCACTTACATACTTGCTGCTCTCAAGCAATGGACACTGATTCACTCAAATAAAGAAAGGATCATTCATTCATTTGGGGGTTTGGTCTCCCCCCTTCCCAACCGAGACAGGGTTTCTCGGTAGCCTTGGCTGTCCTGGGCTCACTTTGTAGACCAGGCTAGCCTCAATCTCAGAGATCTGCCTGCCTCAGCCTCTCTGAGTGCTGGGCTTACAGGCATGAACCACAGCACTCAGCGAATACTGATTTTTTAAAATGGGGTGGGGAGAATGAGAAATTTTATAAAGTTTCTTTGCATTCTGTTTTTAAGTTGGAGCGCAAATAGAAGCGATAAACAAAAAATTTAAATTATGTACATACCATGCACACGTTAAATGACAGAACATTTACACTATCAGACTCATGACTTTCTTTCACTGTATTAAAAATGTGATTTTATGAACTCACATCAGTTAACATTCCTTTGACATCTAGACAAACTCAAAAGAGTTACAAAGAGAGGGTCTGAAAATGGAAGATGAAAGAGAAGTACAGGACCCAGGACCACTACAAACACAGAACTTAATATGATGGGAATGGTGGTCACCTCTATTTATGGTCCAAGCTGAGCTAGGCAAAATTAGGACTTAAAAAAAAAAAAAAGAAGAAGAATGGAGTACAAGAGGATGAAGATGGGAGGGGAAGGGACAAAAGAAAGGGAAGTAGAGAAGAGGAGAGGGAGCAGAGGTGGGGCAAAAGGACAAATCTAATACTAGAATCAATTTTCAAAACTGTATTACTCCCTGGAGCAGCCATGTTCAATCTTTTGATATTGCAAAATGTTGTCACTTACAAAGTCCACGCTCTAGGACCCTAGAATCATACAACTGAATTATAAAAAGACTGCAAAACAACTCAACGTTTAAGTAAGTTTATGATCTTATGTTGGGCCACATTCACATTCATTGTATTATTAAACTTTTTTCAACTTACTATCCAAAAAAATGGGTCCTCTGAAAAAGCATTACAAGAATTTGCGTTTGCTTTCAATTACAATGCAGACAAAACATTTCACTCATTTCAAGTCTTTAGTTTTCTGAATAACCAATGATTCTTTGAAAAGTTAACTATATTGATGAATACTCATATCAGAAAATGTTTTTATTTTACTATCTAATTAAATACCATGCTTTACTAGGTAGTGGCATTCAAGTTGTCACCTAAATACATTTTGTTTTCACGTATGCCTCTGAAATATCATTACAATTTATTAACATGTGTTTTTATTTAATTAAATCTTATAAAGATTTCCAGTATAGCTAATGGTTAAGTTTGCTAGTATTACTAAGCAAACAGCAACATAAAGAGAAAAATTAACTGAATTAATTACAAACTTTGGAAGTGTTGGGCAGTTCTGCAATTGTAGCACTTTAAAAGGCCAGCCCCAACATATGGGGTGATCCTATCTCAACAAAACAAAGAAAAATAATTTAAAAATAGATATTATAGCTTATCTTTTAAATGGAGAGATAAAAAAAATTTCTGTTAGACAAGAAAAATAAAAGCTAGACACCAGCTAGACACCTAGATTGCACAGCATAGCAGCAAGAATTTCCCGTGTTCTCTGTACAGTTTAGGAAGAGGACAGAAATGACAGGGGTGAAGAGTCTATTAAGTGGATATGACTGTGGTAATAACAATATAACATTTCTCAAAGCATCACACATGCACTTTAGGTAGATCAGGCTTTTATTTGGCAGTTACACCTTAATAAAGCAGGAGGGAGAAAACTCATTTCCAAATAAGTTCTTGGGTCCACAAAGAAGAAAAGGAAAATAAATAATCAGCTTACCTTTTTGTCTCTGGTCCTTACTTCCCCATAAAAATCTAGGGCCTCTTGTGCCTTTAAAAATTTGCCCCGATGCAATAAATATGCACAAATCATTACACCAGTCCGTCCCTTTCCAGCTTTACAGTGAATTGCTGCAACATGATTGTCATCTTCACTTAGCCATTGGTCAAGGTCTTCACAAAAGGGTTTGATAAGTTCTAGCTGTGGTGGGTTATGATCTTCAAAAGGGTACTGTGCAACTGTTACAAAAAGATAACCTCAGTGTAAGAAAAAAAGATCTTCTAAATTTTTAATTTAAAAATAGGATAACTTTAACGTTGTTACATATAAACTTATTGGTGCTTTAAAAAGCTTAACTTTCAGGGAAATTTAATTTATTGCTTATTAACCTAACTTTTAAGAAAAAGTTTAACTAATTCTTTAATGTATTCATTAGACAAGGAAACAAGCATTGTGGCCCTCACTCCATGCAGGAAGAATCTGCTGCATGAAGAGAACACGCCACAGCACATCAGTACACTGAATCCAAATGGATGTCGTACAGGTCTCTTGTCTAGTAGTAACTTGTAACAGAAGGCGCAATAAGAGACATCACCACACCACCACAAAATGTGCTCTGAGCCAAGTATAGACTAGACAGACTTTTCTATGTCATAATAAAATTACCCAGTGACTTATTTTTTAAAATGGTCTCACAAATATTATAATTGCATATACATGGATTGAAATTAATTATTCACTAAAAGCATACAATTTTTGGTAAAATTTACCAAATTCAGTTTCAAATTTTTTTCACATTAATTAAGAATCTAGTCTTTGTTCCCTGCCGTCAAGGTGTTACTGTGTAGAAACAGGGCTTCAGCTCTGCTGCGGTGGTTAGCTTACTACTATCTGTCTTGATTCTACCCTATTGAGATCCTTAAATCTTAACTCTAGGGATGTAACTCAGTTCAGAAAGCACTTGTTTAACAGACGCTAAGCCTTGGTTTATCCCTGCACCACTCAGGATGTATCCATGTCTGTAAAGCTAGTACTTGTGAGGATCAGAAGTTCAAAGTAACCCTGGGGTGGAGACTGTCTTAAAAACTTAAAACAATAAAATAATCCTGACGATACTATTGTTCTAATTATCCGCTACATTATTTAATGTGTGAAAACAATGACATATCCTCAACCAAGTCATCATAAAATAGTACAAGAACAATCCATGTGATCCTTTTTGCAACAGGAACACTGGTGAACGGTGGCAAACTGCCATTACAGAGAGCCTGCAGGCCGGCTTTCACTTAATCATCTGCCTAACTGTGCTCCCAACCTCATTTCCCCAGAGGCAAACACAAAAACATTCAAGGGTCTGTTAAAATGTACATTTAAACCTAAGTGAGCTTCACCTGTAGCATGCTTCCTAGTGAGCAGTTGCCTATCTGTCTATCCCACAAAGGACACACTCCCAAAGCACTGCTCTCACTTAGTCCTCAGTGCTCACAGTTCTCAGAAGGCTGACGTTCAGGTGGCTGCACGAAAAGCCAGCACTCAGAACACTCACCTTCGGATACCACCGCAGCCTCTGTGGGTTCTGGGGCAGAACCAGCACAGCTGCTCTACCCTTTCCCAGCTTTATGTCATTCTTCCATACAGAAAAGTTAAAATGGTTCTGCTTTCTTCCTGTAATTGTTTCCAATGTCACCCTGCTCCCAAGAGTCAATAAGCCCTTCCTATCCTAGTTGAGTCTAGTGTCTCAATCTACTCTGCAATTTAGTTTTCCTGACAATTGATAGGTCTAATTGACCTAAAGAACAACTGTGAAATTAAATTGACTTCTCAAAACTGGCAAAGGCTATTCTTAAGATTTTTACGTCAATAATCTAGATAATTATCACTAAGCAGTAAAAGACTATTGGTCTTATGTTACACAATATACTATGGTTGTATTTATACATACCTCTGCAGTTAAATTTGGCGGTGTCATAATGTCTTTCAGCACATCTACAAGAAAGTTTAAATGTGGCATAAAGTTACCTTCCACACTTGGAAGAAAGAGCATTAATATTACCAACATCTATTCACGCTACACCACGTGCTAAGTGTTTTTATAGTGTTTCACTATTTCGGTTAATTTCAAGAATCCTGAAGTAGGCACTATTATCACTCTTATTTTATAATTAAGGAAATCAAAGCTTAATAAAAGATCAATGCATGCATGCGATTAGTGTACATATATTTGTTCACACAATTTGTGATACCAACATGCCACACTGCAAATTCAATTGCTCTGACCCTGTAGATTTCTTTAATGTTGTACATGCCTTTAGGATGTATTTTTTATTTCACAAATACCTGTGACTAGCTACTTTCAATACTATCTTTACCTGACAGGTAATCACATACAATCTTAAACCATTATTTAAAATGTACATGTTAAAAACATGTGAAAACATAACAACAAAGAAAATGTAAAAGGCAACTGAATGATACTAATTTACTTAACACAATGTTTACTAAAAATTTAAACCAGACCTTTATCCCTTTATATACAAATGTCAATGTTTTCAATGTTCTCTCAAAGAGTACAAATTTTAGTATCAGCTCACAAAAGAATAACTAAATAAAATTCAACAAATCAGAATAGTATAATGCTGACAGCATTATAAGACATACATATTATCTTTTCAATAACACTAATTGCTGCTATTATGCAACTGGCTTATTCAAAATTAACAGGCTATGAAACAAACATCAATGGGCTCAAGGGGGTATCCTACACATTACTGTGGTCAGCAGAAGCCTGACGACTCCAACTACTAGCAAACTCAAACATTCAAGAATTACTAAAGTAGCCAGGCTCAGTGGCACACACCTTCAATCCCAGCACTCAGGGAGGCACAAACAGGAGGATCCCTGTGAGTTCCAGGCCAGCCTGATTAACAAAGCAAGTCCAGGACAGCCAAGGCTACACAAAGAAACACTGTATTGAAAAACATAAAAACCAAACAACCAACCAACAAAACATTAGCCTTTGCTATACAGTGAATCTTAGGCCAGCATGGACTACATAACATGACCCTGCCCCCCCACAAGAAATCACTGAAAATAAAAGTTAGTGTTTTAAGACAAATCAAGTTAGTTCCATTAGTCTTTAGCACACATCCAAAATCTGCAAAGTTATAACTATATAATCTCAACTCTAGCAGAACCCAACCTGAGGCTGCTTCACCAACATCAGTGCAGCAGAAAGCCAGGTTACAGTACTACCTAATCCACCACACTGGTTATTGGTTAACACAAACACTGATCCAAGACTTCCCAACAGCTGCAGACCTGCACCATGCATCTGGAATCTGCACAGCTCCTCAACTTTAAACTTTCAAAACCAAATTCACAAAGACTGAATGACAGCCCACTGGATTTCTAACTGGCCAGACCTGAAGCAAATCAACTTTTATATTGGTGTCCGCACATACACATACACACACACCAAGCCTTTTCCTTTTATATTATTTAATATACTGTTTTGTTAAGGAAAATTAGATAATGACATGCATTCTGGCTAAATAATCTCATGCGTGCTAATATAAAAATGAGATAGGAAGAAGAGAATTGACATATACAAAAGAGCACATATTTCTTTCCCCCCTTCCCTTCTGGGTTTTTCTGCGTCAGGATCTTATATACCCAAGGCTAGCTTTGAACTCCTCTTGCCTCCTCCCCCCACCTCCCAAGTGCTGTAATTCCATGCAGGGCAGCCAGGCTCTGTTCTTCTGAGACATGCAAAGAACCCATAATGGAGCATAGACAAGGATTCATAGAGACTCTCAGGAAATGAGATAAGAAACTGGACTCATGACAACTTAACAGAATACAAATGTTAGTTTCCTGCAAGTCAGTTGTCTCACTTTCTCAGGACCTCAAAATGCCTGGTATGAGGTAGGGTCAGGGAGAGCATTTGCCTAGCACAGGTGAAGCAGGCTACACTCCATCAAAGAAAAAAGGAGGGGGAGGGAAGAGAAGAGGAGAGCTTACATGGAGAAAGACAGTGAACACTCTCAAAAGCTTGATTTAATGAGCTCTACTTAAGATCACCATCAGAAAATGATTTTTGTTTTCAGTTAAGGTGTGGATATGGAAAGAAAAATAATGACAACTAAATATCTACAAGATCTACACCCCTCAACATACTGTAAGGTTACAGTAACCTCTGTTTTCATCATCACAATCATGTGACATATATCCCCACTGTATATATGAGAAAGCTAACATTTAAAAAGGCCTTTAGAAGCTTGCTCAGTCACACCATGAGCCTTGAACTTAGTCTCCTTGGTGACCAAAATCAGCTATTATTGTTTCATTCAATATTATAGAAACACTCAAGTTTTAAACGTAAAAGCAGTGACAAATTTTACTCAAAGCCAGCACTAACATGAGCAATGTTTGTCACTGCAGACAGACCCAACACCTGATTTTGGAAAGGAAAAAAAAGCAGCTCTTTACAGGTAGGTATGGGAACTCCAGGGGGTGCGGGTATGCTGGGGCTGCTTCTGTTAATAGCGCTCAAGTGAAGGGGTTGGAGGGTAAAGAAGAAAACCTCCACCTTATTTAAAATCTCTGCTATACATCCAAAATTCACATGGGAGTTGCTTTTAAATTTCTTATGGCTTCTTAGCAGTAAGTCACTCAACATAATAAAATGAAAGATAACAAATAACAATTGGGATTTAAATTTTTCTTTATAATTAAAACTCAAATGACATTTTTGTCCATATTTTAAATTGGCTTATATGAAAAGAAAAATGAAAGAGAGGTTTCCCAAAGTGCTAACAGAAAGTCAAGAGGGATTAAAACTAGTAAGAGAATTGTGCGGAAAACTGGGACTTGCCACAGAACGGCATGGGGAGGAAGCGCTCTTCTTTACAATCTCTGTTTTACAAAGGAAATCTGAACAGATAAAAATAACACACTTAAACAACACAGTTTGTCACGTATGTCAAATAGTCACTAAAATAAAATATAAAATTTTGTAGTCTCTGAACATGGAGAAACAAAAACTGAAAAATCTCATATAAAACTGATACAAACTAGTGTTGCCCTTTCTCAAAACAGAGAATGCCCAAGAAAACTTATAAACTAGTGATTATCAGAAAGCTTATGTTAGTTCTTCATCCAAGCACAACACTGCTGCCATAAATGGCTTCACAAACTACTTATGGGTATGTCCAATGAAAACTACTGTAAGGTCTTCAAGTGTCCACATTTTCTAAGAAAAAAAAAATACATACTACATATAATTCCTATCCAAAGACAGAAAGAAATAAAACAAAAACACCTGATGTTGCTAATCTCAGCTTCCTAAAACCAGATACATAGTAGGCAGTGGAAGGGGAGTTCCCAAGATTAAAACACTAAACTTTGTAGGTGTTGAAACTTTTGAAATGAATAAAACCTGGAGAATTTAAAACAATGAATGAACAAACAAACAAACAAACAAACAGGCCTGCTGGCATAAATGGTGGGTTATCTGTTCCCATACCTATGTGTCCTCGGCCACCTCATTCAGCTCCCCTAGATCTGATTTCCTATCTGTAAGATGAGAAGGCACTACTAAATGATCTTTCAGGTCCTTCACCATTCTGAAAGCCTGCGTTCCAGGTGACAAGGAGTAAGTTAGTATGCACTAAAGGTTATTCTCAACTAATAGTTCATTATATTGGCAATCAAATGCTAGAAACATGGAGTCATGTTCCTAGGCTATGACCCAATGCCACCTTTAACAATACTAAAATAGAACAAAGGAGATAGCATAAGCCTAATCCCTAAATTCTAGAAGCAGGAAGCCACTATACACAGGAATGAAAAGAATTTCCTCCCTGTTCTTTGGATATGTTAAACAGGCATAAAATTTCAACACAGGCAGAATGTCTCTTCTAATGTCTTTCTACTTCCCTATTGGGACTTGCTAAATCTAAAAATCCTGACAGTGTGAGTCCAAAATGATTCATTTAATGAATTCCAGCTTTCAACAGTTCTTATCTTTTTTTTTCAGTCAACTTCTGAATGCAGCTGTTCAAAACACAGTTTTGTAGTTCTCCTATGCACTGTTTATTATTATAACCCCACCTAAGCGGCCCACACCACCACCTGCCCAAAATGACTTATCTGTCATATTTCAAATGCTATTATGCTACCAACCTCCTGACTTGCCATGGTCCATTCTCCCCAGCCTAACAGATAACCCCTATTGATTTTGATTAGTAGAAAAGCCATGAAAATATTTCAAAATCTTCAAATTTATATGTTTGCAAAGAAAGATATATCATATATAATTGCAATCCTAAAATTAAAAGAAATAAAACAGAAACTCCTGTTAGTCTCACAGGTATATAAGAGGCAGGGACAGAAGAAAGAAGGCTATCAGAAGTTAACCACAGCTCACACATTTATAAAACCTTCCTATGGGACCCAGCTACTATGTCTACTGTTCTGTCACTGTTCATGCCTATAAAACTTGGCATAACTTTCACATTAAACTATACGCTACCTGCGGACTGGAATTATCCTTATGAGCACAGTATCGTCATGATTTCTCATGACTAAAGAAATGGCCCTAACTAAACAGCTGCACCTTTCTGAATTTGAAGTCAGAAAAACTAAGAGAAACAATATTGGTAACTACTACACATGAATACTTCTAAGGCTTATCAAAACAGAAATATCATTAAAGATTGAAGGGAAAAAAGCAGCATCTACTACTCTAACAAGGCACAGAACATCTTCCATCCTTCTAGGTAAAATTTCAAATGCCCACTGGAAGCAGAAGAGAGAATACTAGCTTATATTTGATAAAGTCTACGGATAATGGTAATTGCTCATTGGTATTTAACGTATAAAATTGTCCTGCTGTACAAATCATAGATGCAGGAAACTAAAGGACATAGCAGAAAAATAGTGATGATTTATATACCTTTTAAAATTAAAAATGCTCAGTATTTGAAGAAAATAAAAATGATCTTCAAAGACAAAAAAATACTTAATGAATTTTTCCTCTCTTTCTCTTTTTTACAGCTCTACCCCAAAAGTCAAAAGAAAACAAAGGCTTAAAAATAGGCCAACAAGCTCTAGTGGACAATCCGCAAAATCCTACACTAGATAATTAAGCAATGCTGGGTAACTTATTTATTACACACAGAGAATATTCAAATAGCTGCTTCAGTGAATTGAGCAACAAGCACAGAGGAAACAAGTCTCTCCACCCTGGAGTCTGCCTCCATAGAAGCCATCATTAACACTAACAGCAGCTCTGCTGTGGATTACATTTCAAATTATCACATGATTATGGGCTCGAGGATGGGCTAGATGCCAAGTCTTTTAAAGCAGATCAAATAACAGGAATCTGTGCCAACACTATTGTACCTCATCACCACATTTTCTAGATCCAGCAACCCTCTCTACCAGCCTTCAACTGTTTTGAGGAATCCAGTTCTATTAAAATATATTTTTATCTCCAGCAAGGAAATAACTTTTACTTAGTTATTTTAACAAAGAGACAAATATGAAAACATACTTACAGATTGTATATCTTGTAATGGTTTTTATGCTTTGAATCCAAAAACCTTAGAACAAAACAAACAAACAAAAAGCCACCATTAACAAAAACGAGCTAACATTTCATATTACATTAATACTGCGCAGGACTAAAACAGATTTACTTACCCTAATCTCAAATACAATTAATAACCCAAACACATATCCCCTCATTCATTAGTAATTATTACATTACACAGATTTATACAATCTGAAGTAGAGCCAACTTTATAAAAAACTATTTTCATATCTTATGTCTTCAGCCCAATAAATTATGATGTCTTGAAAAGACAATCTTTGTAGTTCCTAAGTGCATCTAGCTCATACTAACTTCCATGGAAAATGGTAAGCAATCATGTACTTTAAAAAAGCTTAAAATTTAGTTTTCTTAATTAAAAAAAATATATATTTGAAAGGTACAAGTAGCAATATAATTCTGTACAAAGTTTATCATGCATTTTTTCGCATGTGTATTTTCTCTTGTCCCTCACAAACACCAGAGGCAGAACTTCCATTTTACAGAGACGGGAAGTAGGTCTCAAAGAGATTATGACACTTGCTCAAGGTGTGCAGTTAATAAGTGAAAGATCTAAACTCAAGGACCACTCCCTCAAGTCAGTTGTGACACTAAACAATAATTACAGGCACCGAAGCACTTTTTACATGCCAGGTATTGTTTTAAGCACTCTATGTATGTAAATTTACTTAATCTTCAGGCCTGTAACAGAAAGACTCAGCCAGTATAATGCTGAAGAATTAATTATGAGACAAAGGGAAAGAAAAAACAAAACAAAACAGATTCATGTAGCCCAGGCTGGTCCTGAATTCACGATGTGGCCGTAGATAAACCTAAACTAGTCCTCCTCCCCGTAACCCTGGAGTACTGGGGTTACAGGTATGTGTCACCAAGCTGGGCATATGCAGTGCTGGTGAAACCAAGAGCCTCAGGAAAGCATGCTACCAATTAACTTCATCTTCAGGCCCAACTTGATGAAGGAATAAATAACTGATAAAATTGACTTAAAAAAGAAAAGGCTCAAATAGAACCATACATATTTTTATTATTTCTCAATGTCAAAGATATCCTAAAGTCAGCTTGAAAAAAAGATGGCATAAAAACAAAAAGACAAAGACACTGCCATTAGCAACACTAGCTTGTTAAAAACAACTATACAAAGTCTGATTTTCAGAAAAAATTACTTCCAGTTTAGAATGCTATACCAGGACAGACTATAAATCAAGGGTGAGTACGTAATAAAGGCGTTGGTTAAACAAGTCATTTGTTTTCTATACACTATCTCAGTAAGTTGTAAAAGATGTTGAGAGCAGAAAATCATGAAGGGAGATGATAGGTTCTAGGATAAGAATCCCAAGAAGGATGGTAACAGGGCATCTCAGGCAGGTTGGACACAGGAAGGCAATTAGTTCACAGCTGGGTAGATCCGGAGGGTCCAGGAGAGGGAGAAACTGATGAGCATCAAATGTGCTCAACTACGGAGTGATTTATAGAACTGGGGACAGGTCTGTGAATAAATTAAAATCAAGAACATAGATCTTTTGCAGATATATTATGGTTTCCAGTTTTGTGTTTTTATGGGACTTCTGTGTGTGCAAACATGTGTGTTTCTGTGTCTTTCTTTGGCTCTCCTCCTCATCCTCTGTGTTCTTCTCTTCCTCCTCCTTTTGTTTTGTCTTATTCTGGTTTGTTTTTATTTTATCTTATTTTATTTTACTCTATTAATTTTTGGATGCCTTCTTGTTTTCTATAAGAGAGAAAGGGTGTAAATTTGAATGGGAGGGGAGGTGGAGGAAACTGGGAGGAGTTGGTAAGGAGAAAACCATAATCAGAATATATTGTATGAAAAAAATCTATTTTCAATTTAAAAAAGAAAAACAGTATGATGCAACATATTTGCATCATAGTCAGATAAAAGAAGTGGGGATTTCTTTGGAATACATTACAAAAATAGAAGAAAACTGCAGCAAAATATTAAAAGACTTTACACCTTTGAACTACTGCAGTTTTTGTTTTTAAAAAAAATCTTGGCTAGTTCTTTTATAAAAAAAAAATTTAAGGAAACTACAACTCTAGAAATGTCAGGAAACTGGGAGAAAGTGTTCGTGTAATTTTAGAGCTCACGTCAGACAAGGAAGGAAATACTGGCATAGTGAGATGTGATGCCGATCTGTAAAGCATTTCAAGTGCTTTACTTCAACAGCCTATGAATCTACAATGCAATCTAACAGAAAAGGACTACAAAGAGGATTTAACTGTAAATCCCATGGGTAAATATAAACTATCCTAATTTTTTTTAAGACAGAAAGAAAAATGTTATTATTTTTTAAAAAACAAAAGATTAAGTCAAGTCATACTTTCATGACTCAATAAAGAAAAAGAAAGCTACCCACTGAGTGGCAAGGTGCATGTTTGTTACTGTGACACACTTGTAAACTCAACACATAAAAGACAGCCAGGTTTACAGACTGAGTCTGAAGTCAGCAGGAATTAGAGCGAGACGCTGCCCACAACAGCAACAGCAATCATAGTAACAGAGCTATGAATTTTGGTAGGCCTCTCTAGGATTCCCTTTTGCAATGAACAAATTCTTCGGGACAAAAAAACTGACTGACGTCACACAGCTCAGTTTTAAGACATACATACATTGTAGTCAAAACGGAAGAGGGAGTGCTCATAGATGAATTCAGGATAGCAGCAAAGTGATATATATATAGGCAGGAACACAAAATCAGTATCAACTAAAGGTTGAAAGTGGGGCAATAAGAAAAAAAAAAAAGAAACTAGAATTCCATAAGCTTGACTGTTATACAATGTTGGAAACAGGAAAAAGGCAGGGACCCCTAAACCTTTTTCACTTCTCCATTTTCTGTCCAAGAGAAAAATGCCTAAGGCAGCAGTTGTAAATATATTAACAATTCCTCTGAATTAAAATGTTTTCTACCTGATAACTTAAGCAAGTCTACTTCCTGAAGATTATTTAGCCAACAGCTAGCAAAAGAAAATACATACAATTATTTATTTTATATACTAATTATATATGTAATTATATACACTTGTAAAGCTGAGTTAGCAATCAATAATTCCAAACAAAAGATAACCCATCAATTTCTGTAATCAATGCTGAATCTAATGGCATAGAAGGGAAAGGCATTACAAAGCTGTGTGTACAAAAGGAATCAAAGCAGTTTCCTCATAGAAATCATCAAGGGCAAAAACAACCTAAAAGAAAAATAAGTTGAAACACTCATAAATAAGTGTGCACGCCATGCCCAACTAGGCTTACAAACAATAGAAATTAACTGCCTAATGCTCTGGAAGCTGGAAAGTCCAAGAGTATAAAACAAAACAAAACAAAAACCCAAAGCTTTTTATATGTAAACACAGTTACAAAGATCTGGAAAAAGAAAAGTTTAAGAATTTAATAGGGAAATTTTGCCATCCTTATGCCGACCAATTAACAAACCTTAAAGGAGATCGTATTTCTTTCCTATCTTTTCCTCTTTGTTAGATACTGAATCCTACAGCCAGCCACCAGGATGTAGATAGGGAGGCAGGAGAATGCATAGTAAGTGTCTAACAGCAATGTCCTAGGCAGACTGTAGCCTTATAACCTCCTAGTCTGCTTTCCAAGATGAAAACATTCTAAGAAGCATCATTCCTTTCTGATTAAGTTAAAGACATTTTCTGTCATTTGCAACCAAGAACTCCTAATTCCTTTACTTTTTTTTATTTTAATTTTATTCATTCATTCATTCACTGTTTTTTGTTTTTTTTGAAACAGGGTTTCTCTGTGTAGTCCTGGCTGTCCTGGAACTCTTTCTGTAGACCAGGCTGGCCTGGAATTTGGAGATCTGCCTGCCTCTGTCTCCAGAGTGCTGGGATTTAAAGGCATGTGCCAGGCTCATAATTCTTTTTAAAGACTATTTCCTACAGTGTGTTTTAAACTAGGGTTATTAGCATCATACTGTGTGCCCCTTTTAACACAAGCTTTTAGCTAGCATGTGAGCCACAGAAGACTAGCAAAGAAAGAAGCCCTTTAAAGGATAAAGCACATTTGAAAGCAGTGTGTGTGGGTGGGGGGGAGGGGGTGTTAATAGTCTCAAAGAACTTGATTACTGAGGGAAACACCACTTCCCTCACTGTCCCTCAACACTGTCACCACCACATTTGGCTCAGCTTTTAAGTCTGACACAACAGAAAGGCAAGATGTGAGAAAAGCAAGAAAACCAACGGCTCTTTCCAAAGAGAAATGGGCAAGCTTGCCTACAGACAGACAAAAGCACAGAGGCAATACTTTGTAAACCTGCACAATCTGAGAGCCCTCTGTCATAACTACACCTTCCATGCGGCAGTTAGTGAACCTTCTCTCCAACTTTGATATCTCTTTGTCTGTATGGCTCACTGAGGTTTAACTGAGGTTGCCTGTAAGAGCATAAAATATTTCCTACAAAATAAATCTAGATAAGCTGAAAGAGTGAATTTTATAATAAGTTATCAACATAATAAACATACAAATGCTACAAAAGTTTGTTATAAGAAGAAAAAGAATAGACGCCGCTCACAAAACAGAAACAAAACAAAACAAAAAAACCAAAGACATAAAACCAGCTAAAGAAAAGGACAGAAAAGCATCAGAAATCAAACAACATTCACCAACTGCACTCCCAGAACTTTTCCCATGTGCCCATTCTGGTCTGGGAGTCTAGGAAAATGCTGACAGTTCCGTGAGTAAGCTTTGATGGTTAATGGAGGTTAATTTAAGCTTGCATGTGTGTGCGTGTGTATGTTGAATGTATATGTGATACAGAGAAGCTAAGAACAGACTACAGGTGTTGCTCTATGACTTTGCAACTTGTTTTTGAGACAGGGTCTCTCACTGAAGCTAGAGCTGGGTGTTTTTTTTTTTTTTGTTTTTTGTTTTTTTTTGGTTAAGCTAGCTGGCCAGCAAGTCCCCAGGATCCAGGCCTCTCTGCCTCCCTCCTGATCACTGTCAGTACAGAAACATGCCAA